ATAATCTTCGCATAATATCGCGGCACTTTTGCTGGCGTCGAAGACGCGATGTCCGGCGTGATCCTCGGGCGTCAATAGGTTAGCAGCGTAGATGACGACGGTGCGCGAGTGCGGATCAGTTTGTTGACGTTGTTATTTTGACAATGGAAGAAGACTACGGTATAGCGGCGGGACGTCGTCGGCCGTGCGGCACTTGCTGGACTTTGCACCGTGGCGTAAAACGACGCGGGGCTGTGTCAATTACAATAAAAATTTGTTATATATATATATATATATAATTGATGATAAGCGAGCGTCTACGGGTTGGAAAATATTGTTCTCTACGAGTGGTGAGCGGGGTGGGGCGAATGCGTTACAACAGTATAGTCTCAAGGTCATACACGACGGGATACGCGACATAATAACACGTGCCGCGTGGAGTTACAAACTTACAAACGACAAACCAACAACAAACATACACGTGAAACTAATATAAGCGTGTTAATAACCGTAAAATGCAAAAAATTGGAAAATAAATTTTAGTACTCATATTAAATGTAATGTAACTCGAAAAATATTTGTTTAAATGAATAAATATAAAATACCTTTTTTGTTTAAAATTGTCTTTTAAACAACTTTTGTACGAAACTTTTTTTTGTAAGTTAAATAGTTTTTGAGAAAATTAAAAAAGCTCATATTTTTTAACTTTTGCGAGGTGAAACGTTTCTACGTTTTATTTCTTTTTAACACGCTTATATTAGTTTCACATGTATTTTGTATGTTGTTTGTATTTTGTTTGTATGTTGTAAGTTTGTAACTCCACGCGGCACGTGTTATTATGTCGCGTATCCCGTCGTGTATGACCTTGAGACTATACTGTTGTAACGCATTCGCCCCACCCCGCTCACCACTCGTAGAGAACAATATTTTCCAACCCGTAGACGCGCGCTTATCATCAATTATATATATANTTTGACTGACCAACACCGCGCGTCATACGCCGCGGTGCAAAGTCCAGCAAGTGCCGCATGGCCGACGACGTACCGCCGCTAATGATACCGTAGTATTCTTCCTGTTGTCAAAGTGGCAACGTCAATAAACCGATCTCCACTCACGCACCGTCGCCATCAACGCTGCTAACCTTTTGACGCCCGAGGATCACGCCGGACATCGCGTCGTCGACGCCAACGAAAGTGCCACGATATTATGCGAAGATTATATATTCTTACCATCGCCGCTAATATTAATATATATATACATATATATATTATTATTTATATATACGTATATGTTAATATTCATTTATATATCCCTACAGCCGACGCCGCTGCCGCCATATATGCCTCGCGCCCCGCCCGCCAACAAAACACAGCTATACCTCGTGCATGATACGTTTACGTACTTAAGTCGCTTTACATGTATATATATATATATTTTAATTACTATTAAAACTTATATATTAATACGCTTTATTCTCATTAAGAGATATATAGGGTATTTATTCCGATTACAAAGGATGATTCCCGTATCGTCATTTTACGTCACTACCTCCACGTTGCGCGCCTGCTGCTTTCCTTGGATGTGGTAGCCGTTTCTCAGACTCCCTCTCCGGAATCGAACCCTGATTCCCCTTTACCCGTTACAACCATGATATTGATAGTAACTACTATCATAACATGTAACTAAAAAGTGAAAAATAAATATAGTTTAAAAAAACTAAAAAACACGCTTTTAAAGAACATCGAACTAAAAAGTTAAAAATAATTTTTAAAATAAGCGTAAAACAATAATGAACGAAAAGTACTAGTATTATTGTGATAAAAGCGTGGGTGCTTTGTGCTATATTTTTCGTATATTGAGCGCCCGACGCTTTTATCACAATAATACTAGTACTTTTCGTTCATTATTGTTTTACGCTTATTTTAAAAATTATTTTTAACTTTTTAGTTCGATGTTCTTTAAAAGCGTGTTTTTTAGTTTTTTTAAACTATATTTTTTATTTGTTTTTTACTAACTTTAAATCTGAAAATACAACGTAAATTGTTCAAATAATCGATTTGTTATGTTTTATTTAAAAAAAAATTAATATATATATACAGGGTGATTTTTTTATCATAACCCACTCAATTACAGAACAATAATAATTAAAAAAATGTTTTTATTATTATCTTTAGTTACACATTATTCTTGAATTATTAACTATGTAATACTTTACAAGTTCATCCCTTATGCCTGGTAAGGGTGTCAACTTTGTTTTTTTAAATGGTAACATGTATTTTTAATTTGATAGAATGTTTGATTTTTTAATTCAATAATAAATGGCATTTAAATTTTTAATGAAACTCAATTTGTTTATTAGATATAAACATTTAAAGTTTCAAATTTTTGAGTTAATATACATGTATAATACACAAGGGATTACAAATACAGGTAGCTAATTGATTTTTTATGACATCTGTGTAGCAGGTACACAGCATTGTTATTATCAATGATAGTAAGGTACATTGTTGTGAGTTTATAAATACACTAACTGTATTGTAAAAAGTATATCTATTGATAGTCATAATTGATAATAACAATCCGTGACTGTGATAGCAATATCATCAAAAACCAATTAGCTACCTGTATTTGTAATCCCTTGTGTATTATACATGTATATTAACTCAAAAATTTGAAACTTTAAATGTTTATATCTAATAAACAAATTGAGTTTCATTAAAAATTCAAATGCCATTTATTATTGAATTAAAAAATCAAACATTCAATTAAATTAAAAAGATGTGTTACCATTAAAAAAACAAAGTTGACACCCTTACCAGGCATAAGGGATGAACTTGTAAAGTATTACATAGTTAATAATTCAAGAATAATGTGTAACTAAAGATAATAATAAAAAAATTTTTTTAATTGTTATTGTTCTGTAAGTAATTGAGTGGGTTATGATAAAAAAATCATCCTGTATATTAAACAGCTAACTATCATATCAGTCTTACTTTAGAAACTACTTAATTTAAGGTGAAAGTAGAAGTATAACCCTCTGTATCACGGTTGGTAACGAGTAGTTACGAACACCGTTGCAAAAGGTTAAGGGGATTTTTACAAAAAGACAGTTATCTCGATCACGGTTGATAACACGGAGGTTATGATCACCGTTGAAGATGAACTATATTATGTAAGTGGTGGAATCTAACCCTTTGGAACACGGTTGGTAAAGCGTTTATTTCGAGCACCGTTGCAAAGGATTAAAAAGGAATACTTAGGAAAAGC